GATTATAGGGATTATAGGGTTTAGGATTTAGGATTTAGGGTTTATAGGGTTTATAGGGTTTAGGTTTTAGTGTTTAATTTGGCATAGCCAATGAAGCTGTAAGTAGTTGGGGTTACACTAGGGGAGATTCCTGGAGTCCGCGTCGAGGAGGTGCTGACTGCAGCTCCATTTGTCTAGGCTTTATGGTTGGTTCTGTACCCACTAAACCCCAAAACCGGAAGCCTCGACCGATGAGTGGATAGACTCCAACATGTGGATCAAGCCGTTTGTCTGGGTATTCAGGGTTTTGGGTTTATGTGTGAAGGTAGACCCTCTACCCTTGAGCCAAGAGATCTCCGAACAAAGCACCCCAAGCTTCACACCCTGAACACAGAATCCTTAAAATCCTAAACAGCCATACTGTTGATATTACAACACGGCATGGAATGACCTTCGTATATTACGGTACCATAATTCCCAATGTATAAGGTACTGAAGGTCATGCAGGATTTTTGGCATGTAGCCTAAACCCTATGCCCTAAATAACCCAATGTCCCCTGGGGCGTTACCTAGGGTCAATCCTAAACCCAAAATCGTAAACTAATTCCCAGTTCAGCGTACTTGGGGTCATGCAGGATTTTTAATGTCCACCGTACCGAGGTGGCTAGCGAAGTCCTGCCGGAGCGACGCTTTGAAATGCCATCTCGGCTAGAAGGACGGCTAGAGCTTCTTACAGGGCTTCACAGGGTTATAGGGTTAAGGGTTTATGGAGTTTAGGGTTTCTGGGTTTAAGGGTTTTACAGGGTTAAGGGTTTGTAGGGTTTAGGGTTAGGTTATTCTCTGGCTACCTCGATACCTGAGCAGATGAAGAACTTAGGGTCTAAGTCTACAAAAACCGACACCCACATTGGGCCCCAAAGTCTGCCAAGTACTACCTACCTGGGGCTATTTGGAGCCCTAGGGTACCTAGACCCTCCATCTACCCTCTGTACACACGCTAAATACCCTCTATTAGGTTTGCATCCTTACTTTTTCTGGGGCTCCAGCTCTATGAACAAGACTCACATCGGGACGTACAGCCTATGAATAGTACTTGCATAAAGTTTTTGAATAGTATTCACCTTTGGTCCTAAAGTCTACATGTGGCCGTAAAGTCTGTAAACAGTACAAACCCTAAACCCTACAAGTCCCCCTACAAGTCTATAAATGGTAGTACCAATTTTAAATTGTTTGGCTCCCTAGGCTTCTAGGCCTGCACCTTAGTGACCCGGGCTTGACATTGGCTTCCACCGGGGTTTGGACATTTCCCGTTGCAGATTGCTATACAGAATGCCTTGCCTTTTTTCGCCCTTGCCCGGAAACGCTTTTGATGTCCCCCTCAAGCGACCTTGTGCTGATTGAAAGGAACCCCTAGAAGCGACCACCCAAACATCTGTAGAATACTGCTGCCTGTATTTATGTTCCTATGACACAGATCGTTTCTTGGACTTCCCAGTGTTGGGAACCCTAAACCACAAACTCTATGAACCCGAAACCGTTTGTGCAAACTCCTGAGATGTCAGGGCAGGAGACAGCCGCTCTGCTCATCAACGGCGCGCGTGACAGGCCTTTCTCCAACCAATGTAGACGCCTGCTGATCAGTTGTTCCGAATATCGCCTACAAACTCAATGGCATGAACGGATTCAGAAGGTGGTCGTTCGGGGGTTGCGCTGCCAGAAGGTGGGTATCCGCAAGGGTTAAATATGTGGCTGAAGCTTTAGCCTGTGAGCCCAGCTGCCAGCATAAGCCGGGTGATGACTTCCCTGTGCATACTTCAAGTTTCAGATGACATAGGAAGTAGGTTCGAACGTATGAAATGGGTTATAAGCAATCCACCCCCACTTGGGAGACATAACTCCATTCAGAACCTGCTTACAAAGTCCTCGCAACCTTGGGGCACTGTACCCTAAACCCTGAACCCTAAACCCTAGAGGAATTCGAGTCCGAAAGCCTAATCTCATCCTTGGAGCCCGAAACCTTAGCTCATCCCTGAAGTGCATATGGGAGTTTTCTAAAATTAGGGTTTAGTTTGGGGTTTAGGGTTTAGGGTTTAGAGTTTGGGATGCCTTTTTCTCTGGTCCTTATAAGAAGGATTAGAGTATTTTGGGGGTCTGCATTGGGTCCTCTATTACAACTACCAATTTGGGTGTTGTTGCGAGCGGCTTTAAAGTTTTCATTGCCAAGCCCCTGCAAGGAATGGTTCTGAATTTGGGAGTTGTATCTCAAGAACGAACCAGCAAGGCCTTGCCTAAACCTTAAGCTGCCGCATGCAGGATCACCACACCAGAGGCTGCCGAATCGTCAGCGCAGTTTCTTCGACAGGCGGGGCAACAGGTGGGGCTTCCAAAAGAAAGGTCCCTTTTGGGAGTACAAAAAACAGCGGCTGCGATATGTTGGGGTATTTGCAGGGTCAGGGGGATTGCGTAAGTAGGTTAAGAATGGGGATAACGGGGTTGCTACAAGGCTGCTGTAGGTTATAAGTATACTTACTAAGTCTCCCTGACCCTGCCAGGTAGTGAGGGTCTCCTAAACACCAGTCAAACCCCCAACCCTAAATTCCTTCAAAGGGAGCCCACAAAAAGTATGTTACGAAACTCCCATTTGAGTTATTCGGCTGAGCTGCTGAAGAGCTTGAGATGGAGCATCTTAGGACTTTGCCATGGATTCTTGGCCATGTTGGGACTCTTAAGCCCTAAGCCCTAAACCCTAAACCCTATAGGGCTTAGGGTTTAGGGGTCGGGGCACAGCAATGGGTTTTCTTGGGCTTGCAGAGCAAGACGTAGTATCTCATGTTCCCCCTTTTGTAGCATATCCTCGTCACGCTGTTTTGGGTATCCTGCAGGAAATGCAGAGAATTCTCAACCGGAATTGAGACATTACTGGTCATTGGGACTCAATAAGTAGGTTGATAATGGGGGTCACTGGGGTTGCTATAAGTCCCGTAATCCCTAAACCCTATACAACCCCTAAGTCCCCTGACCCTTCAAGTAACAAGGGTTTAGGGTTTAGGATTTAGGGTGGAACGTTGGCAGCAGTGGCAGACACGCGGTTTAGGGTCCTGGAGTTTCAGGTTTAGAGTTTAGCGCTTAGGGGAGTTAGCCATACCCTGAAAATTTATGGTGTCCGGAAGGTAGTCCTAAAATGATTGTTACTTTTTGTTACCCTCAATTCCTATTTACTAATTATAAAGCCATAGAGATTGAATTTGTATAGGGCCCTCAACCCTACCCTAGACCAATGATTTCGCTGCAAGTCGTCCTGCTCTCGATACATGGGTTTCATTAAGGTTTGGCTTCATTTTTGCTAGCGATACTGGGGGGGGGTTTCCCAAAATTATGGGTATGTGTTTGGACGGTCCCTGTATTTTCAGGACTATAGTATTTGGGGAGAGAGAGAGAGAGAGAGAGATATATATATATATAGAGATTGGAGTCCCCTCATTTCGGGAATCTACCATATAAGGATGTAAGAGACCACGCAGTGGGCAGGTAAACAACTCCTGAGTTTTTTCAGGATGGACCTCCTAGTCCGCAAAGCTACGATCTCAATCTGATGCGTCCTAACTTCTCTTATTCCTCCTCAGGACTGCTGACAGAAGCAGTGGTAGCGGCCGTGGTAGGGGAAGGCGGCAGGAGGAGGAGGAAGAGCAACCCGACAATCGTTCCCCCTTCTGACAACCCCTCGGATCCCATCAGCAAAATACTATAGCATTATGACGGGGAGTATTTCATACTACGAGGGCGCAGGCATCTTGAGTTAGATGGAAGAGATACATGGTGGTCGTCATGCCTATGGAGAGCCCGAAATAGACACCAATGTAATGTAGTCCTCATTATACGAACTCCCAAAAAGGCGCCCACAGTTCCCGGAACCCCCTCCACATCGAGCTTCCATGTCAGGTCCTCCGTGGTCCCGTTAGGTCGCGATCTCGGTGCTAGCAGCCTTTGAACCTGAGCCCCAAAAGTTTTGGGCGCCTTCATGGCGTGGAATATGGTCTGGATAATAGGTAGTATGCTGGTTTCATGGGAGTTGCACAGAGTTGAAATTGAAACGTATAGATTTGTCGGGGCCTCATGGTGAGGAGAGTATCTTTGTACTTGGAAGTGTATTCTCTTGGAGTGCGTGTAGCGTTCACTAGAGCTGCGGACTTGGGTCGTAGAAAGACTGACAAGAGCCAAAGATAAACCCTGAGGGTCCAAGTACTTAGCTACTTGGGTTTAGGGTAATAGTAACTATAGTGAAGGCTTTGGGTAAGTATATGATTATTGCATACTTGGACCCTTAGACTTCCGCCTCCTATACATCTACTACCCCCCTCAATACTGGCCCTAGTGAACCTTGATTAGGCTCAATTATTATCCCAAATAGCCTCAATTTAGGGGGGAGCCCAGGGGGCTAGTGTAGAGGCAGCATTAGGCTCTATAATGGGAAGCTACTACACATCTTGTACACCCCATGTCCTTGTTTTGAACATTTAGGTGGGAGATTTTCCCAAAACCTGAACCCTAAACCCTGATCCCTAAACCCTGAACCCTGAAGCCTAAACCCTAAACCTTGAACCCTGAAGCCTAAACCCTAAACCCGAAACCCTGGACCCGGAAGCCGAAACCCCAAACCTTCAACCCTGAAGCTTAAACCCTGAGCCCTCAACCCAGAGGCTGGAGATTTTTCCCGACCGGGGAGCCGAGATGCTGCGTGGAGAGGCAGAGTGCCAGCCTCAGAGCCTTTCGGAGCTTCAGGAAAAGTAATGGACCCTTGCCTTTCAAGGGGTTATATAGGGAATATAGTTCGGGCTTTAAAGGGGTTATATAGGGAATATAGTTAGGGCTTTAAAGGAATTATATAGGGAATATAGTCAGGGCTTTAAAAGGGGTTATATAGGGAATATAGTTAGGGCTTTAAAGGAATTATATAGGGAATATAATTAATCAGGGCTTTAAAGGGATTATATAGGGAATATAATTGGGGCTTTCAAGGGGTTATATAGGGAATAGAATCAAGGCTTTAAAGGGTTATACAGGGAATATAATTAGGGCTCCCCAAAATCGGTGATCCCTATCCCATAAGAGGGGTTTGATTTCAGGGTTTCGGGCTTTAGCAAGAGCAATATAGACATGAGTAGTATTTTATTTGGGGATACTATGGTACCCATTATAGAGTAAGATTATATCCTCCTTTTGGGGTATAGTATTTTATGTAAGGAATATAATCTTACTGGGTTGAACCACCAAAAAAAACACTACTCATATGAACTCTAGGTTGGGCTTTAGGGTGTAAGGGAGAATCGGGCATAAAAGGGTTTAGGGTTTAGGGTTTAGGGGAAGGAAACGGAAACTCCGTTTGTATAGTGCTTGTAGGGTGTAAGCTTGGGTAGGGAAAGCCAGAAATTAGAACAAGGCAATATCCTCTAGCGTGCTGTTATGACGCCTGTAGGTAGGAGTGTTATAGAGTAGGTTTAAGGGCCAAAGTTGGGAATTACGTATTGTGTTCATGATATGAGAAGGCTTTGGGGTAGCGCATTCGAGTTTGGGGGTGAGGGTGTAAGGTTTCGGGTTTAGGGCCAGGTAGGTATATTGCTACGGCTCCTTAGGCTCTCTCAGGGACCTGAAGGGTCCATAATATAGGTAGTATTTTGCTTAAGGTGTAGGGTTGCCCGCAATGTAGAGTAAGATTGCATCCTCTTTGCGGGTGTGGTATTTCATAAGAAGAATATCATCGTATATGGTTCAAGCACCAAACAAAAGTACTGCTCATGTAGGCCCCAAACCCTTAACTTCAGGAGCCGCTGCCTCATGGAGTTCCTCTCTGACCACCTGCTGCTTGGCCGTTTTAGGCTTAAGAGGTTCTTTTTGTTGGTTGAACTCGTGGCTGTTCTGGGGTAGGGGCCTCAATACTTGCATAGTGGTTATGAGTCTCCTTTTACAGTGTTCTAGGGGCCATATAGGGTTTCATTGGGGATTCGGGCTGCTTTGGGAGCTTAAGGGTTTAGGCGTTTAGTAAGCTTTGGGGGGGTGCAGTACCCTAAATTGTAAACCCTATTGTTTAGGGTTCAGGTGTGTACTTTGCTTAGGTTTCGGTCGTTTGCCAGTTCCCTGCCATGACGAAATGCCATTCGTTTGAAGAGACTCTCGTGGAATTGGGGGGGGGGGGTTTTGGGGTGCAGATTTTCAGGGGCTTACGTTTGGGGTTTAAGGTTGGGACATGATTTCAGGGTTTAAGCTTCAGGGCTCTAGGGTTATGGTTCTCGGATTTAGGGTTTGAGGGGCTTGGGGGGCATATCGACTATAGCTCATATAAGCCCCATACCAAACAAACAACAATACTGAAGCGTGTGGCAAAGTTTCGGATTCTAGCCTAAGAAGAGTGCCTATACTACAGGGGCTACATAAGGTCTGTAAACAGTACCTGCTTTGGGCTAGGTGGATCCGTAGGGAAACTTCAAGCCCCTAAAGTTAAAGCCCCAAAGCGTGCAAGACCCAAACCCCATCTACACTTTAGACTCTATGCAGCCCGCCTTCTGAAGGTTGTGCCCCGTGTTTCGGGCACCATAGCATCTTTAGCGGCCCAAGTGCTCAATACCTTTTATACATAATATGCATAAAATGGACATATAACATTAGATAACACCATATAGCCCTAGAAACCGGTTATAGTTTTATGTACAGCCATATATACATACATATATATATATATGTTTACATACATACCTAAGCCCTAAACCCTAAGCCTAAACCTAGCATATGTTGAAACCGCCCTAGGCATGGTGTTGGACGTAAGGGCAGTGAAGAAGCCATGCGCAAGATGGGCACGGGGCTTAGGTGAGGAGGAGCTACAGGGTTTAGTGTTATTGCTTTAGGAATACGAGGAGTTTGGTGAAAGATAGTTATGGAGCTATTATTTCCTGATTTTTGGGGGTGCTGGAATTACCCAAGTCCACTTGTTAGTTCTTAAGGTGTGGAGTCTTCGTTCTTTGTTGAGCCCGTTGTTTCGCGCCTTTGTTAAGGTTCGAGTCCGAAGTTCTATGTCGGGTTGACTTTCGGCATGTTTTAACGCTATACCTGTACACCAACAGCTCACCAACAGTAGGTAAGATCATGGCGCAACACCACTTTCCAACAAACCACCCAACAGGCCATTTTCTACATACATTCTAAACCCTAAGCCCTTAACCCGTACAACCTTAAACCCTTTAACTCTCGACCCTAAACCCTAGACCCACGCATGCGGGGTCCAGGTAGGAGGCAAAGGCTCCTACTTCTTGTGGCATACTTTGAGAGAGGGTCACCCATTGCCTGGAACACGGGGCCAGTGGGTATATTTATAAGCCCTGAAAGCCATATGGTGGTTCAAACAAAGGGGGCCCTCTTAGTGACTGTCTTAGTGAGTATGCTTATGAGCCCTAAAAGCCATAATTGGGGTCTTTCCGAAAATTAGGGAGCCATTTTCTGTCGTTCCTGTTGTTATAGTAAGGACTGTAAAAGCCTGGGCCCTTCTCATTATGTGAGCCCCCGCCACGCGATTTAGGGTTTAGGGTTGAGGGCTTCCTTACACCCTAAACGTACTTGCTAAGTCTCCCTGACCCTCCAAGTCGGTTTGGCCATGACCCGGTTTGCTAAACACATGCAGAGTGCAGAGTACGTATCAAAGGGCAGGCCTAGAAGGACACGGTTTAGGGTTAATTGGTTTGGGATTTAGGGTTTAGGATCTTTGGATTTAGGATTTAATTAGCGTCAGACTACAGCGTTGCTGTTCAGCAACTTAAGTACTATGAGATGGGTATATCGTCAATAATGGGGTTTCGTCATTGTGGAAATTTTACTGAAGTTCCTTAACACCAACTCAGTAAGATTCAGGTGATTGAAGTCAGATAAACGCCCCTAAAGATCTCAAGGTGCCGAACCGGTTTCTTTCGCTGAGGATGGGTGGAAGCCTGAGCGTGGTGGATGGGACTTTGGGTTTAGGGATTAGGGGCTCAGAGCTTAGGGTCTAGCATATAGGGAGACCTGGGAAAGGCGTTTAGTGATTAAGGATATTTAGGGAAATGTCAGGGTGCAGAGGCTCAGAATTTCTCGAGCGCATAGAAGTTGGGGTAAAAGTATGGGCGCTTCTTGAGGGATGTACCCACACAGGGATCGCATGACACATTTTTTATGGGCCTTGCTCGATTACAGGATTCCAGAAGAGGTCCCTCTAGTTTGAGAAATGGTCACCTCTCCATGACGTTTAACTCCCCACACCCCCCTAATTAGGGGTGTTTTGGGAATGTAATAAGTATGGAGCTATGGGAGCTTCTGGTATTTAGTGCTGCGATTGTAAGACTTGTTGCTTGGTGTTGGGGGGGAGGGTCAACTCTTGACCCGACAGCATATCCCTCGAATATTTTACGGTTTTACGGTAGGGTTTTGAGCGGTTTCCGGTTTTCTGGTTTCTCAAACCTACCTTGCCACTTTGGGAACTGGATCGGGAGGTATATGGGCCTTTCTAGGTGTTTTCCGGGAGCGCCCCACGTGAGATTTATGCAGGGACCAGGGTGTGCCTTTTTGCGCTGAACCCTTTCTTGTTGTATACCGGAGACTGCATTCTGCGGTTTGCGGTGGGGACGCCGCGATGCCAGTGTCAAGATGATGTAGCTTGAATCCAGTTCCGGGTTAAGGGACGTAGGGACCCCTAAAGCCACGAATGTGCTTTTCAATTGGGGATACGGTTATTAGGTGACGTATTCCTTAACTATTGGGCTCTCTGAGTCCTGCCAGGTTTCATAGGGCTACTCCAGGATGTCACGAGATCTGTGCAGTGCCTGTAGTGGTTATGCTCGGATTGTTTTGAACCCCTTCCACGAGCAACTCACCGAGAAAAAAAGAGGGACCGACAGGCATTCATAGCTCATAGCCCGAGAAGCTCTGAGAAGTTGAAAGTTGAACCCTACGCTAAAGCCTACATAACCCAAACATATGCTGATTGAAAAATGGCTGGCAGGGCATGTATCCAGGCTTTCACAACCATGAAAATGCATGCCCTTAAAATCTGAGCCGGAACCTCCCCAAACCTAAAGCCCCAAACCCTAAACCAATACCCCAAAACCTGAGCTCTAAACCGGCAATCAGCCACCTAAAACCTAAATCCGAAACCCTCCTACACCAGTATCAAGTCTGTGGCCCGCTCAGGTCGGGTTTGGTTATGCAAGTCGGGACCCTAGGGGTTCCGTTTAGGGTTAAGGGTTTAGATGCTCGCAATATATTCTAGTATACGACAATCTAATAAGGATTGATACGCTTGGAAACCCACTAGCCCAGAAGGGTTTAGTGTTTAGGGAATAATTACGACCTGTTTTTCTATTTGCTCATCCCTTTTCGATCAAGACAGCCCGCGATTTAGGGTATCTGGCCTTTCAAGTTTCGCCTCCTAAGCTTTTGTGGTTGGGAGTATCGACTTCCAGGTGTCTGCATAGCGGCCAGTCATACCTAAAGACTAAACCCTACCCATGAAAGAACCCACATTCATTCTCAGAGAGGCCATACTGTATCCAGGAGCATCCGGCGTAGCCATGCAACACGTCATACTGCCTCCACTCACTAACGGTTGGATAACATTCCTGAAGCAACTTCATGAGCTGTAGTCGCAACTCCGTCAAGAGTCAAGAGCGGTTATCTGGGGATTATATAGGGGAGTATTATAGGTGTTACTAATTACTAAGGGGGATACTAGGAGCTTAGACTATGGCTCATATAGAGCCCGAGCCCTTGATATGGCCCCTATCTTATACTGTTAATGGGGGGGGTTGCGGACCCAAACGCAACATTCCTTGCGCACTCCAACACCAGGTCAGCGATCGCTTCTTAGATCAGATGGACTGATTCTGACTTCTCGGCTATGCCCGCATCCTACCTTGGGAAAAATGAACAGCCCTACCTCCAAGGCTGCAAACAGCACAACGTAGGTCATATTTATAGACTTTGGGGCCCAATGGAGGTATTATT